GCTCATTTCACATATCGATAAATTTGGTGCTCATTTCACTCTTTTTTTGGTGCTCAAAACACACTTCATCGATCTGGTGCTCATTTCACTCCTTTTCTGGTGCTCAAAACACTCCTCGTCCGCGGATTTTTTCGCTTCATGACAGTTACAATGCTGTGAAATAGATTTTACGATTTACGAAGCATAACAGGAGATATTCAAAAAATAATTAATGTGTGATTTCGCTGTTGTTTATATTCTTAAAATGATTACATGACATAGAAAAAATGACAAAAATGTTAAAATATATCAATTGATAATGATTTTTTTATTGTATTCTTTGAAACTTTTGTATACGACTATTAAATGTATCTGAGACGTATAAATTAAGTTCTGAATCAAATGCAACATCAGATGGATAAGTTAATTCGTTACTTCCATTTCCTGGTTGTCCTGTTCCTGCAATTGTAATACCAAATACAGAATTTGGACAAAACATTTGTATTCGATGATTCTGACAATCACTAACATATAGATTACCATATTTATCAAGAGTTATACCTTCGGGATAAAATAATTGGGCTGAACTATTTCCATATCTTCCAGGTATACCAGCATAAATATAGTGAGGTTCATAATCACCGATAAACCATTGTGTGATTGAATGTGAGTCATGGTTTGATATATAGAAAATTTGATTTGGTTCATCATAGTAAAAACTGAATGGATTATTTAATTGATCTGGATTAAGACCTCCACCATTACCTCCCTAGAGAAAATACAGGGTGTTCCAAAAGTCCTTGACAAAAGTTTTTTCGTTTCATTTCACTATTGACTGGACTTTATTGAGTTACTTTTTTGGGTAATAGATAAATACATTAAGTTTTTATTTTTAAAGACAAATTTCAAAAGCATTGTTGAAAGCTAAGATCTTTAACCGAAATACAAAAATTTCGCCGGTTTTCTCTTTCTAGAAATACTCATGGATAATTTGTTTTTTAATTGCTTGAATTTTGGTTTAATACTATTCATTTCGTTTTTGTAAAGATATACCACAATAGATTTCTGTTACAAGAGCTTTCAAGTATTGGGCAATTTAAAGATTCGAATCACTCAACAACTCGAAGCAGTTAAACGAGAAATATTATGTAATGTTTTTCAAGAAAAATAAAATAGATTAAATTTTTTGTATATCGGCTAAAGGTCTTAGCTCTCAACAATTCTTTTAAAGTTTGTCTTTAGAAATAAAAACTCTGTGTATTTATCTATTACCCAAAAAACAATTACTCAATGAAGTCCAATCAATAGTGAAATTAAATGAAAAACCTTTTCTCAGGGACTTTTGGAACACCCTGTATTAAAATCAAGTATACATAAATAATTTTTGTACTACTTCCAGCAAATAAAAAACAGCTCAACACGATTAAGTAGTCAATCACTTTAACCTTAAACTTATTTCTCTATTCGTAATTTCGTTTTCATTTTCCCTCAAATGAATACTGAGATTTGTAGTCCGTCACACCATAAAAATAGAACCAACAACTTACTGCCATGATTGTACCAGTAGACGTTTTTGGATCATATACTGATGACCATCGTGTTATACGTTGATTTTGTGTATCAGCAACAATGATATTTTTCTTTGAATCGAGTAAAACTGTACTAGGATAACTAAATTCATTTAATGCTTCTCCTCGACTACCATTTCCTGCAATTGTTTTTCCAGTCTTCGCGTTTTTCTTCCAAAATTGGATTCTTTGGTTATTCCAATCAGCAACAAAGACATTTTCATTTTCATCTGCAAAAGCATCTACTGGATTCGATAACGTATTTGGTGTTGTTCCACCTGTACCATCGGCTTGCCCGGCGGCTGTTTTAATTTCACCATTTGGATAACGTTTTTGAATTCGATTATTAGAATTATCAGAAACATACAAAATTTGTGTTTTAGGCTCGATAAATAAACCTGTAGGTAAGCTTAACTGATTAAAACCTGATCCATAACCATTACCTATAATTGTTGTTGCTGTTGTACTCCATTTAAGGTTGCCTGGGCCTAGAGTTTCAATAGAAACAATTCAGTTCGTTTTAACATAAAGATTTGTTACAATGATTTGAACTATTAATGAAAATTATGGATTGTTTAGCAAATATCTTCAGCTTTCAACATTTTCATATCTGTAGTTCTGTTATAGGATGCGAATGAACTTCAATGACAAATTGATTATGAATTTATGGTATGAGAAACTTTTACTGATATAAATTACTAATGTTAGGAGCTGCAATAAAGTGTTAGATATATAAAAGTTTTAAGATAATAGTGAGAATTTAGCTATACATTCAGTATTGAAAAGCTTATTTGAAAGAACATCAATATGAGAAAAATAGAGAAAATCAGTAATATGCTCCATATTCAGTTCTGCTTCACTCGTACTATTTATTTACTAGAGAAGTAAACGTATGAAAAATATCTTAATTGAATAAGAACAGGAAAATGATTGAAATATTATATCGATGAACTTTTGTCTATCAAATAAGAATGATTATCACATATCATATCTTCATATCGTATCATCGTAAATTTTGTTTACATGCCATCTGTAAACGCTAAACTCATTTTACACAACTTTTCTGTTTTACGAATTGAAGAAAGATAAACTTCGATGTGACCAAAAATTAAATCCTCTGATAAACTACGATGAATTACATATTTCACTATATTCAGTCCATCATGCTTTCAAACGATGATATGAGAAATTTACATGCACTTACAGTCGCTTGATTGTTTATAAACAGATTGACCTGAATGAAAAAACAGACAAATAAAAGTAAAATTGCTTCGACTTTTAAACATTTTCTTATGCACTTGCCATTATTTATTGCGATTGTTCTAAAAATAATAAAAAAGATTAATTCAATACTCCTAATGAAGCTCATCGTTTCGATTCAGCTCTATGTTTAATACCTACGCAAATAAATATAACAAGTATTGCAACATCATTTGGTTGGTAATAGATAAATAATGACTTTCTGCGTTTCTCACACTTTTAAAATTCGTTATCACTTTTTATCCATGCATCGTCATCTACCTTTAGCATATTCATACGAATCAAATAGTGATAAAAGACATGATGAAGCATATATTAGGCCAAATTAAATGCTTTAAAAAGGCACTAGGAATTTTAAGCAGTAGGGTATGAGTGGGAGTGGGCCAGGATTTGTGGGTATCTTCCAGCCAAAAGAAGAAATACTCGCGCATGCCCACACCCTTGCAATCATTTTTATTGAACATACATTTATCAAACACATGCAGTTTTGAATAAAAGCTATGACTTTGAAAGTTTAATAATCAAGTTAATCGGTCGAATGTCAGTTTTGTTATAACTTTCAACCAATCTTATAATCTTAGGTCTTCATTACAAGCAGTTTGGTTATAGTCATTAGCCAATACAATTTTCAGCATTACTCAAGACTTTCCACGTCAAAAAATTAGGATAAAATTCAGGTTAAAATTGATTAAAAGCATACACTTTAAACCGAAAAAAAAAACAAAATTCATTGATTATTCTAGTTGACTTCGACTATAATCGATTAAAACTTAATGAAAAAAAATTGATTATAATGGATGTAATCCCAAGTAAATCAGTTAAAGATTTCTCATTTATCATGAAGAAAAATCAATAAAAGTCAATGTTTTTTTATATTTTTTAATAAATTGTAATCGAAATTAATTAGAAAAAATTAATGAAATTTTGTTTTATTTTTCAGTTATTTTTTATTACAATAATTTTCCAATCTTTGTAAATCTCATTATTACCCTAATGTTTTACATGGGTTGAGGCTAATTAAAACTATTAGTCAGACCCTTCTCTTAGATAAGATACGCTCACACTCGGTATAAAAAAAAACCACCGTCCACTTTACTTTTCTAAATAATGATTTAACTTGCGGGGTGTGGATGTGGGTGTGGTTGTTGGTATATTCCTTATCCGTGCTCTCACATCCATCCACGCAATCCTGCCCTCATCCCACACTCATGATATTGTAGAGAAGAAAAATTTGCAAAATATATATGAAAATCAGCTTGAAACCTCGTATAATGATCAGGTTGCAGCTGAAACAATGGAAAAAAATTGACATTTTTACTCGAAAAATGAAGAATTTTAGATAGTATTTATCCTATAAAATGCGTTTGGCCCGTTGAAAAATAAGCTCTATCTCTAAATATATATTACAATAAAAATTTCATTAATATGTTTTCTTTTAAAACGACAAAACTTTATATTAACAATTTTTCATCATATTTTTTCAAGAAATTCGGTCAGTACTTCAAAGTTGAATAGAGCTAACTTTTCACCAGCTCAACCAAATGCGCTAAAATATGAACTTAGAGGTCTCCGATGATGCTGATTATGATAGGAATATCAAATTGGAAAACTAACTTTTATTGAATGCTCCGATTCGCCGTGCCCTTATTGATGCTTTCTTAAGCTATAGCTAATATCCATACTCTGTATATCTACCCGTAGAAAGACAGTTAAGCAGCTGAAGGGAGCCGTATCTTTGGCAACCATTATCTAAAGCACTTTCCTTCTTTCTCTCCTTTAACTAATTCATGTAAACGCTTTCGATTGTTGCATAAAAAAACTCAAAAGAAAAAAACATGAATAGCCGCACCATGGGTGAGTTGAAATATTGACACAACTAATTGCATGCATGCATTCATGCAAACCCAGTGTGAGTGCGCTGAAGTATTGATACAGTGAATGAATTGAAATAAATCCTGTAGAACAATAGATTCCAAAAACAAAACGTTTTCGTACCCCCCTCTGATATCCAAACAAAGTTCCCGTGACACAACAACTCAGGTATAAATACTTGAAAAAATCTCCATAGCTGATTCATTGACTATATCGTCATCCTCTACAGCTAGAAACAAGTGACTAGTCGGGTAGAAATATTATAGTTATTTCATACTATAGTCTGATTTAGGTTATCTCATTCATCAAGAGATAGCAATCCACATCTATAATTATTTCATCGCCAAAAGTTAACATCACGATTTCACGAAACCGATTACAAAGTCGGATTCCTCGACCTTAGAAAACTTCGATTCTTCCGTTACGGTAGTTCTTTTCTAACAAAGCTGGAGTAAAAATGTTTCAACACGAAGAATTAGATCGCATAACATTTTCTCGACATTTTTAATCTTCAGAATCTCGCCAAGAAAAGACTCTTTACGGACAGATCAATATTTCATTTAGTCTAACAAAAAATTATAATCATCGAAGATTATATGTCAACTCGTAATTTCTTCATCGAAGCCCGCTTTAGGAGGGATATCTTTGCTACAATAAGGGCAAACCATCCTATTGTGAGAGCCATTTCAAACAGAATTCAGACTAACTTCCTGAGTAGCTCGAAATACAGCATTTTGACTGTGGGTGTGACTGTTGATCATCTTTTCAAATCCACCCACGCCCATATCGTGACCCGAATAATGCCATGATTTACCTCTGTTATAGTGGGGAAAACCTTCTCTGAACCTTGATTATCTAGTAAATCAATCTGATCAGCAAATCAAATTGATCACGAGATTTTATCCCTTATAGTAAAGGAAAAGCAAGATGTGGTTTTGGTCATTTGAAATGGAACCCCTATGAACATCCAGATTGAGTTGAACAACATCACATTCTTGCTTTTTAACATTTAATTTGAGCGAACAAAGTAGTGTTTGCTTGTTACTTGTTCCTATTACTATTTAAGAAAAGCTAGTTAGCGCTACGTATGTGCCGAGTTGATAGCGGCTTTGAGGATATGATTTCGAATTTGTTTGGATTCGGATTCCTTGGTTTAGACTAAAATAAAATTAGTTCAAAACAGTAGTGTATATAATCATTGAGTTCTTATGGTTGCTTCATACCAGATCCACACACTTTTATTTAGATTTAGTTAGGGATGGTGTTGAGCTTACATGAGTGTATATGAGAATCTTTCCTAATCCAGTAAGCATCCGTCCACTCTTAACCCGCATCTCACACTGTCAGACACAGCCTCAGAACATAATCAGAACTGGAATAATAAAACAATGTTTTGATCGAAAATGCAAAACGATTGTTTATTTTTGATTTTTTTCTCTAATCTAGCAACCATCCAATATTTGGTTATTCTTTCTTATAGTGTCTGATTCACTCCAAAATGCATCGTGGCTTTTATCGCGCACTAATATTAATTGCGTTGACCTATTTGCTCATACTAAGCGTGACAGTTGTCGGACAATGTTGTCATCCTTTTGATGATGTTTGTCTTGACATGACAGAAGGTACACCCTACTGTGGGCGCGGTCCATGCGATCGGTTTGGATGTAATTGTAAAGGTGGTTGTCGCAAGCCAAAGTTTATCGCGCTACGTGGATGGCCAAATGTTCAACTCGCTAGATGGCAGCGTAAAAACTCCGACTGAACATTCGCATTTTTAGACTGCTGCCAATACAAATCCATTTGAAAAACTAATTTGTTAAAGTTAATAAATGATACAATTATTACCTCTAATCTCATCCAACACGAAATTCATACTTTATCTTCTTTTTTTACCCCATTTCATTGTAGTTGTTTTCTTTCCATTATTCTGCTCGTTAATCAAGCAAGTGTTTTATTCATTCTCTCAGTATGCTTCCTATCCTCATTATTTCCATTCCTAAATTTTATTGACACTGTTTTTTTCATTCTAACTATATTGAGGGTGTTTTAGAGTGAGTTTATTTTATGTTAACTCAAATTCGAAGACGAGAGAAATCACGCAGTTACCACTAACTGATTCTGTAGTTTTTTAATATTTATTTTGATATAACAGTTATTTAATATCTACAAACTACAAGTGCTAAAGGTGAGTCTCGAAAACAAATCACTGGATCTTTGAAAAAGAAACGAAAAAATGGCCACATTTTTTTGTAAAATTTTAGCAGTATCGTTGCTTTGATGTCACTGAAACAGAAATATGTGCTTTGGCATTTATCTCAGTTTCTTTGAATGCTCATTATGCATGCGCTAGTTTTCGACCAAAATCTTGGTAATTATGAATATTGTTTTGACTGTGGCCTCTTGCACTTGGTGTGGAAGATGGGGAATATTGTGTTTTCTTATAAGTTTGTTGGTAGTCACCTAAGTTATGTATTTCTAACTGTAGGATTGTAAAAATATCAAAATATGGAGTTTTAGAGTAGATGATCAAGAATTGTTTATATTCTTTCGTTTTCGCATGTTTTAGTACTCGAACTGTTTATATTTTTTGAAAGTACCTCCAGTTATTCCGATATTGACGCCAGCGTAGTAGAAGTTCTTTCATCGAAATAAATTTTGAATTACGTTTCAATGTTTTATGTGGTAATGAATCTTTAACTTCAGGAAGATATTTCACTTTGCGATCACTTTAGCCACTGAATATTTTTTTGCACATATTTCGACGTAACGCTATTTCAGATATGATGAGCGTTCCTTATTTGAGATGCCTAGTGTTCTCTCTCATAGATAATTAGGACGAGCATCTGTATCATAATCATATTGTCTTCTTCAAGGTGAATGTCGTCTTGTATGGTTTTAGTATGAATTTCGATTTCTGACGCAAAATTAATGATCGTGATATCAATAAACCAATGAGGAAAAGAACCCATAGAAATAACTGTTCATAGATTTTTTTCTTTGCTTTCTATTGTGCCGCTACATTTTGGAAGATATTTTAATCATATTTCAAAGTTTCATTGAAAAAATGATACTAACTTGAGCTGTTTATAATATGTTCTGCGGTTGAATTATGTGTAAACAGCAGATTGCAATACTTTGAATGATGCTGACAAAGTGCTTGGAGTTCGACTAGTATTTGTTCTTTTTTTTTATATATGCTTTTGTTTTTCGTCTTGGTTGATTTGCGACAGTCTTCAATGTGCCACTGATAGTAGTGAGTTTTTTAATGAATAATATCATGCTCTAACTATTCCATTTTCTCTCGTTGAACAGCTTTGTTGGATTTTGTGAACATCCTGTCGACTTTGCCTATGGCTTGATCAAGAAGAGTATATGCTGTTGGTTCAACAGAGCCATATCTTGTTCTACAGTTGTTTGCTTTGCTGCTGCTTGCCAGACACGTCTTACTGAGGTGATCTATTGAAAGGTTAAAGATTGTGGAAAGTTGTAAAGCAGATAAAATTTAAAGAATCTATATCAGTCTGCGTTTTAAAGTCATCTCATAAATTCTGCAATCACCCACAAACCCATGTTTCTCGAGATGATTTCATACAACCGAATATGAGTGAAATGATGAGATGTGGCAATGCTAGAATGACAAGAACAATTGAACTGAACAAGCATATGTTCATGTTGCAAAATTGTTTGTTAAGATGTTGTCTGTATTTTTTTTTCGATTTCAATATCACAGCGTTGACGAGCAGTTTTAATAATAATAAATACAGCTCATAACAAATTGATAATATATGAAGTAAGAAGATAAAAAAAGGTGATGATTGAATTATAATTTTGTAAAAATTTTTGAACAATATATTACACACCAAATCCGTTGTTCTTCTTTATCATTGAACAAATTTCGATTTAGAGGTTCATGAATGAATGTGATCGTGATTAAAATGGGTATAATGAATATGATCCATTTTCGTATACAGCAGAATTTTTAGCAAAGGTTCAATTGATATACAGCTCATTTTAAGTATAGAACGATTCATTATAAAACCCATTTGAGATAAAATAACGAACCAAAATTTAACTGCAATGAGACTTGATATTAGAATAGAAGTGATCAGTAAGACTAACAAATATAAACCACAACCAACTTTTCGTGAATTTTTTCTCCGAAATGTTAAATATGAAAGAATTTCATGAATAAAACCTAGTCCGAACATAAACATTGTAATAAATATGCTTATTTTGATTGACATAGGTTGTTCGACTCGTGTTCGAAAGCGTCGAATTTCATATCGTAAAATATCATTGAATGTTAAAACAATACCTTTAGCATAGAAATTATCTGGAAAACAAGAGCCTTCATTCCGACAGTAATCTTTATGTCGACATTTAAATGTATTCGAATGACTAAATTGAAAACAATTCATGTGATGTTCAACAGTACATAGACACATGTAATTTTCATCAAAAAAAAAAACACCATAGATTGCGATGATTTGCATATGGTCAATAATAATATTTAATTCGTTGAAAACGTAGCATTACCATCAGAGTAGAATTCAATAATTCGTTTATATAAAACCAACGCTGACTAGATTTTATTGGTGTGGATATATCATGATTTGGATATTGTTGAACAATAGCTAAATAATAATTGTTATCTAATTTGACATAAACAAGATGAAATTTTTCTTCGCTATACAATGTTATCATGTGTTGATTGTGTGTTAGTTTTTTAAATAGGACTTGACTAAATGGTTTCAAATTTAGGGCGTGGCTGTGGGTCTAGCTGTTTGCTACATCTGTATACACACCCACACCAACACCATAGTACTGCAGTATCTTCTATATATATAAAGAAGAATGTTTGTCTGTTTGTCTGTTTGTCTGTTTGTCCGTTTGTCTGTTTGTCTGTTTGTTCGTTATGCATTCAATCCCTGTAATAGCTACGGTCACCAAACTTTCCATGGTAGTTCCCTAGGTCCAGGGAAAGGTCAAGAGGGGGTCAGCGCCCNCCTCGAACCTGTCTCTCGTTCTTTTTGATGCTCTATCTGTGCTGAAAATTTGAGCTTGATCGGTCGTACCGTCTTCGAGAATCAGAAAGTGTCAAAAAAGAGGGGGGGGGGTACCCTTAACTTATTCGACATGACTCATTGCCTTAAACGCTATTAGGTCTAGTTGACATTTGATATTGACCTCATCTTGACCTGTTAAGAGACAAAAAAAAAGCTATGAAAGAGAATGAACGGACAATCCTTGTACCTTTTTTCTTATCTTAAATATCAGCCGACATTGGGGATGAGTGCGTCAAGATACTCATTATAGAGTTTTGCGAATAAATGATCAGTAATCAATGCTAACAAACTATGTTTGATACTGTTTTACTGTATCTGTTGGATAGGTGCTGCAGATTTGAAAGGCAAGTTGGATATCGTAAGTGTCTATGTATACGCTTCATTGACGCATTTATATTCCATGGATTTTGGAGGGCGTCAAAAAGAGACATTTGAGCAGCATGCAGATTGTTTTCAATTTCAAAAACTTTATATCGACATGAAATGTTTTACTTCATCTTTGAAGTACCAGTTTAAACGGGTCGAGGGCTCGGCTTTAACGTAAAACTATCGCTAATCTTTATTCATGAAAATTTGGTTGTTCTATTATTCAAAAAGTGCCAATCGAAACCACCTGTCAGAAGTTCACACTAGGACAATTTTGTTCATAATTTTGATATCTGTTGAAATCTACATTAAGCTCTGAGTTACAGTGACTTGAAATAGACCTATAAAAATTATGTTTGATTCTTTTATCAAAGGTATTTAAATAAAAAATATCTGACGTCTGAAAAAGAACATCTTCATAATCGAGTTTTTGAGAAAAAACATGCAGAATTTCAAAAAAAAAAGCCTAGACCAGTCGGTAAAGAAAAAGTGGTCTCTATCGGACCGGATCGCTATTTACTGTTACCGGTTAAAATTCTGTGTGAAACATCATATTAAATGTTGTCTAAAACATTTGCTGAGTGTAGATCGTCGATGGAATTATACTCAGGATCAAATGAAAAGTTAGAAATATGCGTAAAGATAAAATCAATGCTTGTTATCATTTTCTGAGACGAAATTTTCAAAGTAATGGTAGCAGTGTCAATCTATACTATCGTACTCCTTTTATCAAGTATTGGCTTTCAAAACGATTTGACAGAGTACTCATTTGGCTGCTGCTTAAAAAGATAATTGCGAAGATTTAGTAATCAGCTGAAAACTTCGCAGACTTGTAGTTGGGTGCTAATAATAATAAAGTTTTTTGTTCTTCTTATTCATTGAAATTATTAAGCAAACACTTGACTATGCCAATGAACATTGACATGTGAAATTATCTTAAAGATTTCTCTTCTGTAATCATATTTTAATATGATTAGGCTCAAAAAACTAACAGGATATTATTACTATAAAACAAAATCTTGTATACTCAGAATGGGAATTACGGTTATCTCTATTTTTCGTCGTAACTTTATCTTAAATGGCCGTTTACAGTGTAATACGGACCGTATTTTTGCAATGGGATCAGAACTAGTAATTCATTTCATTATTTTAAATATATCAATGAATAGATATTATCACAACGCTTTTTTGCCGACGTCTATACGACATCTCGATAAACAATTATCGGTTTTTTTTCAAATTCTTGACACATTACACATGATCTTTAAATCTTATTTCTGTCGTGTAGTACATAGGGCACTACAAAAGTTTTTTCGCCCGGTTCTTCTAGAAGGCTCCGTTTGAGTTCAAGTATTCTGTTATAATGCTTAGACATATTTAGGATTATGTGCAAAATTTCAGACTTCTAAGTCTTGTACTTTGCTATAGTCTATTATTTCTTCTACGTTAGTAATATGCCATTTTCTGTGTACTAAATAACGGACGGTATATAATAAATGATAGAACTTTGCATTCCATCTTTTGATTCCTCACAAAATTTTATTAAAAAATAACAAAATATACCAGATGATGCTGCGTGAAAAGCTCTACAATTTACATAAGCCTGCTTTTTTTCTAGCTGCACTTTTTACTTTCAAAATAGTCAAGATTTTGAAGGGTCAAATTTTAACTGTGCGAAAACAATATTTTTTTTTGGTACAAGATAAAATCATTTTTTCTTATTTCATCTTTTTACACTTATTCTGTATAAATTGTAGAGCTTTTCACGCTGGATCTTGTGATAAATTTTGTTTTTTAATACAATATATCAAGTGAATGAAAATTGAAATACAAAACCTGGCCATTCAACCTGATACATCCGTTAGCTTATTCAATGTTAGATGAATCAAATAATACAATATAAAGTGGTGAACATCCAATAGATGTTCCTTATAAAAAATTAAAATGTAATCTTCAACCAGTTGAACATGATTTTGAAAGAATTTCAACTTACTGAAAAATATATGATAAATATTCATGATCAATATACATTAAAATAACGTGAATTGTTCAAAACAATACTTGATGAAGAATTTGATCGTTTCAAAAGTTTCAAAACATTTGATAATCATCAATTATTATGGCATGAATCAAGAACAACTAATTTTGCTGGTATTCTTAGTCAAGGTTTGCGTATTGCTCGATCTGAAGCATCAGCTGTAAGTTTTTTGTTCTTCTTTGAAATTAATAAGATTTTCAGACGGGTTATATGTTTAGTAAAGGTGTTTATTTTGCTGATATAGTTTCCAAAAGTGATAAGTTATTTGTTTTCTTTATGAAGAATTCTTTGAGAAAGAAACATTAATTTAGCAAACTATTGTTTTACAACAAAGCAATCGCCTGAAGGATTAATTCTTTTATGTGAAGTTGTACTTGGAAAGATGCATGAATATTATAAAGCAACGAATTTATCTGCATCAACTTTACTAGCTTGTACACATTCAACCAAAGGTTATGGATCAACAATGCCAGATCCAAAAGGTTAGATTTATTTTGATAAATATATTTTAAAATAAAAATATGAATTTTTATTATATAGAATATTATTATACAAATGATGGTGTATTTATTTCAATGGGTCATGGAATTCAATCAAATGTTTGACAAACTTCATTATTATATAATGAATATATTGTCTATAATACAGATCAAATCAATATCAAATATCTTTTACGAGTGAACTTTCAATATAAATATTAATAAACTATTTCTTTTATTTTTCTCTCTAAATTCTTTACAAGAAAATGATGAATTCTCTATTTTTCTTATTTGTTTGTGTTGTGCTTCAAATAAAGACATGATTATCAAGAAAAAATCTTTTTTTTTTTTCTTTTGATTTATTTTTCCTATATTATTTTCTTTATTATTAAATGATTGGTGTGAATTTAACCTAGAATAAATGATGAAAATTAAGCTGTTTTTTTTTTATGGAATTTTCGATGTCAGAGTTATTTCAATGAGTTTTGATGATAAACAAGTGTAAAAAATTATCAAGAACGAACTATGAATATATCTGATGATAGAATCATAGAACCTCTTCAGATTCGATTTATCAAAATTCTGTATGCATCATTTCTTATCGTTTTTATGCAAAACAAGATCATACAACGACAAACAGAACGTTTTCGATGGTTTACTGGAACAATAATCTGGAACGAACATTTTTTTCTACCTTGCTAACAACTGGAATGTGTTGGAAAAATTCTAAACGATTAATAAATCGATCAAAGAATTTAAACTCTCAATCAGCTATTCTTAGAGTTATTCATATATAAGTCACTCATTTCTTATTAAACAGATCTATTGTGATCATATCCAATGATTGAAATTAGGGGTGTCATATTACTATCACCTCCACATACACTTACCAAGGTAACAGTAAGTGTGTTTACTACTGAAAAATTTCCTATTTAGCACAGATAAATCGCTACTTTAACTATCAATTCTTCGTTGTTATATAATAATTTTTATCATTTGCCACTTACTAGTAGGTGGTAAGTGTTTAGTCAAGAATAGCGAAGAATATTTGGGGTACCTAGAGTAAATTTTTGAGAGATATTAACGGGTCCCTCTGATAGTCCTCAAAAAAATACTCTAGGTACTCCCCAATAGTATCCAAAAAGTTACCGTTGGTAAGCTTAAATAGTCCTCAAAAACGATTATTCTTGGCACTCTCAAATAATCCTTGATAAGTTATGATTGATATCCTTAAAAATACCCTTAATACTTACAGGTATATGCCTTCCTATTCAATAAGAGACACTTACTACTTACTTGGTAACGGTAATAGGAATATGACACTCCTAATTGAAATAGACCACATTTTTGATAGTCAAGACAAGGTCAAAGAGACTTTTTCATCAATCAAGAAGCATTTTTCTGCAGATTAATGAACTCTCTTAAAATTAACAAGAACGAAATTATTATCTCCTTTAGATTTGTTATAT